TTTTCTACTTTTTCTATAACGAACATGCCAAAACCAGTAGGGCTTTATGACCAGTCACAGCCACCTTATAAATAATAAATAATAAAAAGAAGGTGGCAAAATCAAGGACAGGGAAAACTATTTTGTTCTGCTGAGTATAAAAAGGACTAATGTATTCTCAAGCACCACAAGTCTACCATTTGAAAAGTGTTGAGGGTTCAAAGGCATTTAAAACCCACATTCTGTGTTGACTCCTGAACAGGATATAAGAAAACAGCATTTGGGCATTCTACCTGTTCTTAATCATTTTCCAGAATTTAAGAAACGCAGGTCTGTAGTAAGATATTCCAGTTTCACATGGTCGTTTATTTGGGGGTGGAGAAAGAGGATCTTTACTTTTCATTTTACACTTACTGAAAGTAATTTTTAAATGGCTTTGCATCAAAAATACACTAGTATTTAATTCATGTGAATACAGCATACTGACTCTAAAATCCAGAGGGAAATCTTAAGTTCTAGTTATGTAATAATATTCTCCTAATTTTCCAAAAGTATGAAATTTCATAACTAAAAAGAAGTACTTTGGTATCAGTGGACACTGATTCCAATTCACTGATCTCAATATAGATAGCAAGCTATAAAGTGCAAGTCACTAGTAAATGAAACCCAATGCTGTACAAATTGTACTGTAAAAACAAATCATCAAGGAAACGCAAAACCACTAGATACCACCTCATATCCACTGAATGGCTACTATCAAGACAAATACAAAATTACAAGTGTTAGGGAGGATATGGAGAAATTGGAACCCTTGTGCACTGTTGGTGGGAATGTAAAATGGTGCAGCCACTGTGGAAAACAATATGGCAATTCCTCAAAGAATTAAACATAGAATTACCATCTGATCCAGCAATTCCACTTCTGGGTATATACCCGAAAGAAGTGAAAACAGTGACTCAAACAGATTATTTGTACACCCATGTTCATAGCAGCATTTTGTTATTATTCTCAATAACAAAAAGGTGGAAGTAACCCAGGTGTACATTGACAGATGAATGGATAAGCAAAATACATAACAATGGAATATTATTCAACTTTAAAAAGGGAAGAAGGACTTCCCTGGTGGTCCAGCAGTTAAGACTCACGCTTCCACTGCAGGCGCTGTGGGTTCGATCCCTGGTCGGGGAACTAAGATCCCACATGCCGCGCAGCACGGCCAAAAAAAAAAAGGGAAGAAATTCTGACACATGCTACAATATGGATGAACCTTGAGATCACTGTGCTAAGTGAAATAAGCCAGTCACAAAAGGACAAATATTGTACATGATTCTACTTATATGAGTTACCTAGAATAGCCAAATTCATAGAAAGTAGAACAGTGATTGCCAGGGGCTGGGGGTGAAGAGGGAATGGGGAGTTAGTGTTTAATGGGTACAGAGTTTCAGTTTTGCAGAATGAAAAGAGTAAAAATGGATAGTGGCGATGGTTGCACAATATGAATGTACGGAATACCACTGAACTGAACACCTAAAGATGATTAAGGTGGTAAATTTCATGTGATTTTTACAATAAAAAATTGGAAGGAAAAGATAAATAATGGTACTGTGTCAGTAAACACTAACAATTTAAAAAGTAAGCAACTAAATGGGATGTGGTATGCTGAATTGGCTCCTAGAACAGAGAAAAGGTCATTAATGGAAAAATGGGCAAAACTGCAATAGTCAGTAGCTTACTTAATAGTAGTGTACAGATGTTAATTTCTTAGTTTAGACAAACATAACATGGCTTCTATGCAAGATAACGTTGGGGTTTAAGGGTATACAGGAACTCTCTGTACTATCTTTGCAAGGTTTCTTGAAATCTAACATTATTCCAAAATAAAAGTTCATTTTAAAATAAAATTTTAAAAAGCAAGTGACAACTAAAAAGAAGTTAGAATCAACTCCTACATAGAAGACAGACAATACAAATGTATTAGAATTGATAAAAGTAAGCAGCAAAACATATGAACACCTATATAGCTACGGTAGATATGAAATTGTTTTTCTTGTGCTGTTCACTGTTGCCCAGCTATTGTCTCATCATCCACTACTTGCAAAAAAGACAGGCTGTTGAATTTTATATTGTGGTAATATTTCCTTAATGATCCTGGGTGCATTTTTTCACTTAGATCTTAGCATGGACACAGTGTGAACTTCCTTCTGCCAATTCATGATTTTCTATCTTTGATAATTTGTTACTTGGTGAGCATCCTGGTTGTTTCAAGTCAGTTAAGAGCCCAGTGTTGTGCTCAGTGGACTCCTAGGCAGCACAACTCAGCCTGGACAACCCTAGCTCAGTCTACCAGCTTCCAGCTGCAACATGGGTGCATTGGATACAAGCTTATTTGGGGGGTACTTAGGCATCTGCACAAACATAGTAGGTCACTTTAGTCACTAGAAGCCCCTGTTGAAGGTGCTGTAGCTTTTAGAGAAAAAAGATCATGAAATACTTTTATCAGAAACCAAGCAGCGGGAAGCAATTGATGAAAGCATCTTGCTTCATTATGTCTATTTAAATACTATACTCAGAACTAAGTGAAAACAAAGCTTTACTTAGAAAGACGACTTGAAACGGCTAAGTTTTACTTTATTTCCCAGCCCAGCTTCTTTTCTGTTAAAGGTCAACTGTGTAAAAACTGATGCGACATTGAGAAGGGTAGAAAATACACTGTCTCTCTTAACAACTCTGCACAAGGGAGAAATGACTAAGGCTATTGTGTCTTCTTCCCTTCCCTTCCCTTCCCTGAAATCAGTAGTCTAAACACTCAAGGGGCTTTTACAACTGCAGGTGCAGAGCTTTGACTCACAGGTGCAGCTTGCATTTCCTTTCTCTGTGACCTTTAAGGTCAACTGGTTAGCTTGCTTTGACCACAAATAGAGCTCTTCTTAATTCCTCTAGTACAACCTTAACTTGATATGAAGCACTTACACAGGAATGGTGTAGACAAGAAGGCAGTTTATTGTATTTTGGGGAGAAAAAAGAAAAAACATGACTCCATTTAGGGAAAAAAAACAGCCATTGACACTCAGTAAGCAACACTGCCATCTAGTGGAATGGTGACACACCATCAAGACTTTCAAGACCAGGCATGAAATGTGAGCGGATTTGCTGGTTTAAATTTTCACCAAAAGAAAAAAACGCACTTTTGAGAAGCTGGCTTTCAGAGAACCTCAGATTTTGAGAAAGTATTTTTACCTCTGAAATAAATTAATGTATGTGCTTTCTCTGATTTGGGGGCTAAAGAATGAGGTGTGTGTTTTTCAAATAGACTCTCAAATTAATTCTGGATTTCAAGGTTATGAAACACTTTGGAGCAGCCTGCCTCTTTGAACATCCGTCACTCTTGCACTCTTGTTCGGCAGTCTAAATAGTAACCCCTGATGATGACAGTTTATAAAGAAGCAAAACTCAACTATACAAGAACTACATTAAGTTTACTAATTTCCTCTATTTTTACAATCTAAGGTGCTAAGTATTTGCACTTCACTTATTTGAATTCCTGGAAAAAAGCATTAGAACACACCAATAACACTTTTGCATAAATCACATAACCCAACTCTTATGACTACACAATAACATTGGAAGATATTGGTGTGAGGACGTGGGAATGCTGTTCTCAATGAATAATAAAGTCATTCTTCTCAAGGATTTAATTCTCCTTTATACCCAGGTGTTGCAGTAAATGTGCTGATCTGATAACTTCTATGAGCATATGAATGAGAATATTTAATGAAACACCTGGCTGACAAAAGAAATAAAGTTGTGAGAATAACATATTAATAGCCACGATCTCAAATTGGCATCTGTTATTACTGAGATTTTAGATCCTGGGTTAAGTGCTCTGTTCTTTGTAACATCCATAATGGTTATTGATCTTGCTAATGAGTTCCTCATTGCAACATTTCTGGATATATAGTTGGAGGCACTTGCTGATTCTAGAATGCATGAGTCTGACATGGTTTCCTCAAACCACACTCTTAGTAAACTCTAAACTCAGTTAAGGATTTCGATAAACTCAGTTAAGGATTTCGAAAGAGCCGAGTTCTGGGAAAGATGTATACAAGTACAGACTAAGAAGCTGAATTAAAACATTTTTAGGTTGCATTTTTGTCAGAAGACAAACTGAATGTTTCAATGCTGAGAACCTGAGACTGTCCGGAAAAAACAAAATTCTGAATGTAGGACAGGAGCTACCACAAAGTCAGAATCCAGTGTTCCGCACTTCCGAAAACAACATGAGTTAGGGAGTGAGGGTGGTCCTCGAGGTACTGTACCTGAATGAGGTTGTTCTAAGGGTTCGTCTGGGTTGCCTGTGTTCACCACACCTTGCGGTAAGCACCCCACCCCCGTCTCAAGCCTTCCTTCACCGCACATTCAAGTCAACTGCATCCTTCACATACTGTTACTATTCGGGAACCCCTGAAGCCAAAGCAATGACAGATGCTAGGGAAGCCTTATATTAACTCAAACATGATGCCAAGGTCATCTCCAAAAAAGTTTATTAGCATGATTAAAAACATTTTCTTGAATAATGATAGAATTTCTAAACATGAAAGAGTATCAGTGGCTATATCCTATAACCAATATTTGCAACTGGATGGACAGCTTTATTGCCAGTCTTCATTTTATTAAAAACAATCCATATTTATTGGTTCCATGTGAAGTCATGACTATTGCTTTGCCTGGGAATGAGTCCCTATTGCAATTAAGTATAAAAAATATCTTCCATAATCGGAGTGTGACCTGCATTACTGAGTAAAGAGTTAATAAAAATCCTCAAAGAGTTGGGTTTTTGTTTTTTAAAAACATTCCTTTTACACACTACAAAGAAATAATTAGTATTTTGGCTTTTAAAATTCCTACATGATATTTAGAATGGCAGTCCCCAAAGGTCCTCCCTTCGCATAATTGAGAACGCAGACCCTCTTCCGGAGCATACATTCTTGGGGTGGACTGTGAAAATGCCAACCTCCACGTGTTTATACTGGTTTGAGAACAAAGACAGCGTCATCCAGAACGTAGTAGTCATTATACATGTCACCTTCACACAGGTATGGCAGTCTAGTGAGAGCTTCGATAACAAAACCAGCTTTTCTGAAAACTTCAGGCAGACTATTCACTTGTTCTTCCCAATTCTGTCCCTTGATTTCCAAAATTTCTGATGGTTTATCCCACTTGCCACCTACTAAAACAAATGAAAACATTAAGTTAAATTCTTGAACAAACAAGTTATTTAAAGAGGGAAGAGGGGAAGAACAATATTTGCTAAGGACTTGGTATGTGCCAAGCACTGGGTGCTTGGATGAATCATCTCCCAGGTGACCCAGCAGTAGGACAAAGAGAGGAAGTACAGACTTAGGAGAACTGAAGCACATGCCCCAGCCTACAAGGTTAATGAACGCTGGGGCAGAAACGTAATCCCTGGTTTAACTGGACCCAAAGCCCACACACTACTATTTTCTCCGACAGTTTTGGACATCACCCTCCCTCAGACTGACTAGTGTGTAATGGTTAATAGGTTTGGAAAACTGCTGATTAAACACTGGAATATTGAAGCAGAGAGTAACACGTAAAATTTGAAAGACGGTTTTGGATAAATGCTAGAAAATGCCACTAGTGTAGTAAAATTATGCAACATATTAACTAGAGAGGTTTATCAGGCTGAAAATAAAAATAGGCTAATGAAGGGTTTTAATTTATAAAAACAGATCATTCAGTATGTTTTTCAATGGAGGTCAATCCACTCTCTAACTTTCCAGAACAATTTCGTAAAAGTTAAGCTCCAGAACCAGACAGAGGTTAACACACTAGAAGGGATGAATCAATCCAGCACTTCTTGGAACAGCGACTGAAGTCTATGTTATGTTAGTCATTTCCAAACCCATGAGCATCAGATGCCCAGGTACTGGGGGGCTAGAAAAAAGGTCTTCAAGTTCACACACATACCAAGCACTGACTACAGACACACAAACACACACACACACACACACACACACACACACACACACGCACAATAGTATATATAAATTTGGGGGTGGTTTTAGATGCTATGATGATGGAAAAAACACAATAATACTAAAAGTGTTACTAAATTCAGACAGAGAATAACTTTCCGTAAATGACAAAATATAATCAACAGGTGCCAAGAGTACAAACAGTACAGTGGGAAGATTTTCCACTCTTTTCAGTGGCCCAGCACCCTCTTCCTGGTGGAAGACAAAGCCTGGGGAAGCAGCTTTCCCTGCCTTTCTTGCAGCTAAGGCACTGGCACACGACCTAAGCTCAGAAACACTCGCCTGAAACCTGGAAGGAGGAGCTAGTGACCCAGAGAAGTGGGAACATGAGGCTCCTTCTCTGGGGAGGCGGAGCAGTGGCGTGAGACCAAGCAGCTGGGCAGCGTTGAGCGGTACTACCGACAGGCTTTGGTCCAGCCACAGCATCTAGTGCTTGGCGGCGGCAGTGTGCTCTTTGGATCAGTTTTACAGTATGTTTTGGGGCATGTGTCTTGTGTGTAGACCCCCATACACGATTCTCCAGTCCTTCCAGTGACTCGCTGAGCTACCCCAAATCCTTTCAGTAAATTACCCTTTGCTTAAGTCAGCCCAAGTCATTTTCTGTTGCTTACAAAGAAGCTGACTGATGAAGCCCCCAAGGGGCCGGGGATGACAGAGATTCCACACATTTGTTTCACAGCACAATAAAAGGGGTCACACAAACCGGGTCACAACTAGTTAATGGTGCACAACTTATTTCTTCATTGCACTCTGATGTACTGTTCACTAATTTTTCTCTTGTCTCTACGTGAAGACACTTCCTTCTGCTTCTCCTCCATTTCCAGAAGTTACTGGCCCAGCACTAAGCACAAATTAGACGCCCCAAGACCAGCGACTCAACTGCTCTAGAAATTTAAAGTACGAATTATCCGTCAAACAATACATCCTGAGAATACGCACCACGTGTGAATCAAAATCTCACTCAAAACATCTAACACTTTCGAGGATTTGTAAAATCCAAGAAAAATGTGAACATATGAACCTTTAGAAATGTGCTCTAGGCTAAAATCTCAACTTTCAATGGTGAAACTGGATTACAAACGATCTTTACACAATTTCAAAAAGTTCCCGATTATGGTTCCTTAATAAGAGTTCCTCTCTTTGGTTCTTCCTTTCTTTAAAAAAAAAAAAAAAAAAAAAAA